ACGGTGTGGAACTCCATAGAGATATTTCCTCCCAAGCTGCCATTGGTCATGGTGTTTATCATGGCAACAGGTAGGGGCAAGGACAGGACAGCAAATACAGAGCTTCTTTCTGTACACAGGAACCCAGGTATGTGGTACACAGCTGGGAGGAGGCTGTGTGACCTTTGGGTCCTCCCAGTCTCCTCTCCTCCCCCACTGTCTTCTTGTAGTGCTGAGAATAGACCAAGGGCCTTGTGGGTACTAGACAAGCCTATGCCACTGAGCTACATTCCAGCCCCAATACTGTATTTCCTGGGCCTCGTTGGCCAGCCTGTGCCAAAGCTAGCCACTTTTATATGGCCTGTGAGTCAGAATGGCTTTACCTTCTGAGGAAGTTGAAAACTAACCCAACTGTCTGTCTATACTTTCCCACTCCACTTAGCCTCTAAAAGTTACAAAGAGTAGGGAGCTTACCCGCAGCCACTGTCCCTGGAGAAGGCACGAGAACTCCGCCCATGTCAAAAATGACTGCTCTGTAGCTTCGGCCTTTAGAATGTGTCCATCGGAGGACTCCCTGATTCCTGCCCAGGGGATGTTTCAGGGCAGTGGTCCTCCATGCCCAGTGGAGGGAGGAAGGCTGGAAAAGCCTCCTTACACACATGGTGAGATGGAGGCTGTGTGGGAAGAAGGTTCAGAGAGGCTTGAGACACAGCTTCTGTCCAGGGTTAGGGTTAAGTTAGGGTTAGGGTCAGGATCAGCCTCAGGGTCAGGGTTAGGGTATCCCTGAGCTTGGTGCCACACACAGCTCTCAGCTGATTCCCCAGGAATGCTCAAGCCCCACCCACAGCTGGCATCAATGACTGTTCACCCAGGGGCCTTTGCCCCTCCACTGTTATAACCATGGAAAAGGGGTTTGAGCCCTGAATTTCCTCAATCCCAAATCAGCTGCTTCGGCCCTGCCTGTGCTTCCTCCTGAGAACTCCATCTCTGGCCGCCTTCTCTCTGTACAGACTTCTCTTAAGAGACCCCGAGGGGCCGGGGTGGTGGCGCACGCCTTTAATCCCAGCACTTGGGAGGCAGAGGCAGGCAGATTTCTGAGTTCGAGGCCAGCCTGGTCTACAGAGTGAGTTCCAGGACAGCCAGGGCTACACAGAGAAACTCTGTCTTGAAAAACAAAAACAAAAACAAAAAATCACAGAACAAACAAAAAAAAAAGAGACCCTGAGGGTTCCCTCCTCTTCTTTCCACCTTCCTCCCTCATTGGCCAGAGGAACCCTTTAAAGCCGAAGATGTGACCACATCTTAACTCCATATTATTCCATGGGTTTGGTTTTTGTTGTTGTTGCTGTTTTGGTTTTGTTGTTGTTGTTGTTTGTTTGTTTTTTGGTTTTTTTGGAACATGTTTTGTCCATGTAGCCTTGGCTGTCTTAGAACTCATTCTATAGACAAAGCTGGCCTTGAACTCAGAGACCACCCTGCTTCTGCCTCTGAAGGGCTAGGATTAAAGTCCTCTACCAGCAGCCTGCCTTAACCCCATTTCAAACCTTCATTGGAAACAGCATGTAGTAGTCCAGCTACAGTAGATACTAAGGCAAGATTGTTAAGTTCTGAGCTAGCCTGGGCAACTTAAAGAAACTGTGTGTTAGTAACTGTTTTCATTGCTGTGACCCGTTCCCTGACAAAGTGGCACAATGGAAAGATTTGTTTTGGGGCACATTTCAGAGAGCTTAATCTGTGGTTGTGCACGCAGCTCCATGCACTTGGCCAGAACATCACAACAGAAAAGATGTTTGTACTTCATAGCCAAGCAGGGAGCAGAGAGAGGGAACATAGGAAATCGCCAGGGCAAGAAACTGGGACACACACCAGTGACTTGTTTCCTCTAGCTGGGCCCCACCTCCCAGGATTCACCAGCTCCCAACAAAGATATCTCATTACAAATCTGTCATGGGATCACTCCACTGACTGGGTCCAAAGCCCTCAGAGGAAACTGTCTCTGCATCCCTTCAAGAGGCCTGGTTTCCTAGCTTTGGAGGCCTTCTTAATCAAGTATGAGAAATTAGGCTTTTATTGGGGCTTGCAGGTCCACACCTATAACCTCAGCACTGGGAAGACAGAGGCAGGGGAATCTCTGTGTCTCCAGAGCAGCCAGGGCTATATAGGGAGACTCTATCTCACACACACAAACAAACCCGGAATAGACACAAAAACTCACAAGCAAACAAAACCAAGACCTAAACAAAGGAATCTTTCTTCTCTTTTTCTCTTTTATTCAGATGGGCCTTACTCTGCTGTCCAAGCTGGCCTCAAGTGTTTGGGTCCAGGCAATCCTCCTGCCTTAGTTCTCCCTAGTTAGCTAGTATGGCAGGCACATATGGACTGCTGTACTCAGCTAACAAAAGATTAAATGGTAAATCTTGAAAATGGCACGATGTACTTAGACATCAAAATTTGGCTGAATTTGGTAGTTAAAAAAAAAAAATAACAAACCTCCCAAACCCCAAACTTCAAGGCTGATGACTCTTTCAATTTTACTTCTTTCTATGGGAGGCCAAAGTCTATAAGGGACAACACACTGACGTGGAGGCAGAGATTATCGGCTTATGCTACCACCTCTGGGTTGTGGATCCCTGGCGAATCGGACTCTGGCCTTTGTGCACACTTGGCAAGCACTCTGTCTCCCTTCTCTCCAGGCCTTGGCACCTGCCGTGCCGGCAGGCCAGAGCCTGCTTCATCTGGCTGGTGAATGTCCACTCAGTTTTATACCTCAGCCTTGATTTCTTCCCCAGGGGCAGCCTTGAATGGCAGGCTAGCCCGGGCTAGCCAGCAAGAAAAGGCAGAGAGGGATATAGGGAAGGAAGAGCTAGGGACACACTTGAGTGGTGGACAGCCATGGAAGAGCTGTGACAGCTTGTCCATTCCTGGTTAACAATGCTAGTTTCCTGGAACTGGCATCTTCTATGCCACAAAGTGACTTTGTTTTCTTCTTGTCAATCAGAATGAGGTTAGACTAATGCCTCGATCACATTCCATCAACGTCCACAGGTGTACAGTTTTATATTACAGAGATAGTGTAGTAAAGACCTCAGTGGTCTGGACTGACTGGTTCCCAAATCTGACTCTTCTAACCACTGAGAGTGAGGTCCTGGGTACATTACCTTCTGAGCCTCAGGTTCCTCCTCTGTAAAATGGGGACAATTACAGTACCTATTGCAAGGGGGGTGAGGGTCACCACTGCCTAAGGTAAAGAATGTCAAGCTATCAAATTAGCGTGTGGTACGCCATTTAAGGTTATCTAACACTTGAGTTGGTTGTGTGCCTCAGCAGATGGCATGTGCTTAGCATGCTGAAGGCGCTAGGTCAACCTCAGTGCCATAAACTAATGTCTGACACACGGTCAGATGGTCTACACTGTGTGGGTGGCTTTCATGTAAGCCCATTATTCTCCACGGGGGTGGGCATCACTTGGGCCACAGAAGGGGACATTTGGTGATATCTGGGCATATTTTTTGGTAGTCACTTCCAGCTGACAATACTACTGATGTCTATAATTCACAGACATATATGCATGCACCCCGAAAGAGTTATCAGGACGTGAAATGTGAGCAGAAGCTGGGAAACCCTGGCATTAAAGGGGTATGAGACGTATTACATAGGAAATAACACAAGCACCTCTATGTATCGTGGGTTCCTGTTACAGTACAATTTGTATACACATCCTCTCCTGAACCTCTTACACTCTTGCATCCTGTCATGTTTTTCCTCCATACATGCACAGATTTTACCTGGCTTTCTCTTTCTTTCCTGTCTGTGTGTCTCTGTGTGTGTATACTAGACACTGAACACAGACCCTATACCCCAAGCATTCTACCTCGGAAGTACATTCCCTGTTGTGTGTGCTCACTATAACACCTGCACAGAGGACAATTCTTGAGTTAGTTCTATCCTGCCACCTTGTGAGGCACAAAGTCTTCAGCAGAAGCCCGTAACCCTAGTACTGGAAGAGGCAGGAGGGTCAGAAGTTCAAGGACACCTGTTTCCAATATACAGAGAACACAGCTTTTCTTTTCTCCAATATATAGAGTTCGAGCTATCTTGGGCTACACCAAACCTTGTCTCAAAACAGCCTCAACAATGGCCAGACGGTGGTGGGCAGGCCTGTATCTTACAACTCTGGAGGCAGAGGCAGGAAGATCTCTGAGTTCAAGGCCAGCCGGTCTACAGAATGAGTTCCAGGACAGTCAGGCGTACATGGAGAAACTCTGATTCGGAAAAACAACAACAGCAGCAGCAACAACAAAAACAAGCCAAAACAAAACCAATCAATCACAACGAAATAACAAAACCAAATTTAACCTTGACCTATAGGCTTTCCAGCGTATCCCTGTCTCTACACAGCGTTTCATTTCACAGAACCCTGTGGTTAAGCAACAAGTAGCTCAGGATCGCACGAGTACCGAAGGTTGTCCTGTCTGGGGCTGTTTTCTGTGTCTGCAAAATCGTCATCTGCAGTGTTCGGCTCTCAGTGGAATACCTGTGAAGCCTGTGAAGCCCTGGCGCTCCTAACCAGCCCATCGCCATACCTGCATAAAGTTACAACCCCGAGGTCGAAAACCCAGGAACCCTCAGAGTCTCTGCGAACCCTCAGAGTCTCGGTGAACCCTGCGGGGAAACTAGGCGTGACAAACGGAGGGAGAGGTCAAACGTCAAAAATAAGCCAGAACGCTCTGCACGGACTGCGCACGCTCCTCGGACACTGTCGCGTCCAGATGGTCAGCCAAGGTGCAGAAGAGGCTGCCGAAAGCGCATGCGCGCCCGCGGCCTCGCCCCTTCCCGCCGGCGCGTGCGCGTGCGCGACCCTGCGGGTCAGGGACGGCGGCCGAGAGGCGGAAGTGTAGGTTGTTGTGGCTCGGCCGGCTGCGCGAGAGGGGCTGCCGCTGCTGAGGCGGCGGCCGCGGCTCTGAGGCGGTGGCGGCGCTGCCGACCGCGGGCCGCTCGGCCTCTGGGCTCGGCCCGCAGTCTTCCCTCAGCTCACCGGGGCCCACGTCGACCAGCGCCTGTCCTATGAGTGTGTCACTGGTGGTCATCCGACTGGAGCTCGCGGGTCACTCGCCGGTCCCCGCCGACTTCGACTTCAGCGCCGCCGGTGAGTCCGCGTCCTCGCGCAGGGCCGGCGGGTCGGCAGCCCTCGCTCCACCCGCCCCCGGGCTTGCCAGGTTCTTCGGCTCGACGCCGCCTTCGCTGCGAGAAAGCGCGGCCTGGGGCGGGGGTGGGGTGGGGAGGGATGCTCTGCGCTTTTCCCAAACTGGGAGACAGGCCAGTGGTTCAACGATTTGCCCAAAGTTAGATAGAGTGGCTGGAAACACGGGTTCTAAATCAGCCGGTCCCAAGAATCTGACGTCGTCACCACCAGCCACAGACTTCCTTAGTGGGCCATGCAGCGTCGGCTCTCCCTTGATCGTCACAACATTACCTGATAACATTGAGACTCCCGAGGTGAAGGCAGGAGGACCGGCAACCACAAGACGGTCTGGAAACCTGTCTAAACAAACAGACAGAGAGAAAAGGTGTGTGTAGGAGGGCAGTTGCTTGATGTCTGTCAGAGTTTTGTCGTGCCCTGAATCAGACTTGGTCTCGAATTTGTGCCATACAGATTAAATGTCCTAAGTTGATAGAAAAGAGAAACAGGAACACTTAACTTAGGTTGGAGAGCTGGGCTGGTGCTTGTTCTCGGAAGAATGGCATCACTGGCCACGCTGTGAGTCCAGCCTTTAGAACTGCAGAAGAACAGTGAGTTGTGGTCTTTCTTGTCCTTTTGGACTCAAATGACTGATGTCTTTCAAGGTTACAAGCGGCTTTCAAGAGCTCAAAGTGACCCCTAGATCTGAAAGTCAGCTAAGTTGGCACTAGACACAAACAGGTAACTTCATACAGGCCCAGTCATGGAGACATTTATGCGGCAGAGCCCAGGGTGAGAGTTCCTACTGTGTGCCGGGCTGGACAAGCCTGGGGTCTGCCTCAGAGCTTACTCATGAGTAGAACTCCTAGAGGGACCGAGACAGGCACTGGAAAAGGACCATGGGCACGGTGAAGCACAGTAGAGGAGGAGGAGGAAACCTACTGATTGGAGTGCCGAGAAGTGAGAGTAATGTGGCCTGTCGTAAGGTATTAATCTTTCATGTGTTCTTCAGCTGGAGAGATGTCCAATGAGGAGATCAAAAAGAAGACATTGGCTTCAGCTGCGGCCTGCCTAGAAGGGAAGTCGCCAGGGGAGAAAGCAGCAGTCATACACCAGCACCTCGGCCGTCGGGAAATGACCGATGTGATCATTGAGACCATGAAGGCCAGCACAGGTATGCCCTCAGGAAGCCTGGCTGTGCCCTTGCACTCTGAGCCCCTGGCTGTGTATTTTCTCTGTGGTTGATGAGCCAATGAGGCTCACCTCTGGTGTGTTTATTCATGAGGATGACTTGTTATTGAAATTTTAATCTTTGTGCATTCACCTCCTGAGTGGTGGGATTACGTGTATACACCAGTACATCCAGTTTGTGTGCCGATGGGCACAGCCCCAGGGCTTCATGCATGTAAGGCTAGCACTCCCCCACCTGAGCCGGAGGGCCAGCGTGTATATTTCTTTGTAAGCACCTGTGTTCTTTATGTGATTTTTGAAGCATATTTCATTGTCTTTTTTTTTCTCCTAAATTAGTAATAAATTTGGATGCAGAAGTGCATGCCTTTAGTCCCACCTACTCAGGAGGCAAAGGCAAAAGGGTTATTTAAACCCTCGAGTTTGGAAACAGGTAACCTAAGACCCTGTTTTAAAAAGAGTCGTAATCCGGGAAAAACTAGATGGATTGTGGCCAGGTGGGTTCTTCACTCTGGTGGCAGTGCTCGTCACCACTAAGTCGGCTCCCGTGGAGGAGTACATCCGGGTAAGCCTGCTGCAGGCTCCCTGCCCTACTGGCCTGCACAGCTGAGGAAGTGGATGCTTTCTGCATCTCCCTCCTAGGTGTGGTCAGAACTGGAAGGTTCAGTTTTCAGAGAGCCCTGACTGTCACTCTGAGGAGCAGGCGCCTGCTTGTGTTGGGGTGCTGATGGAGGGAGGGGGAGCTTCTGTTGGGGTTTGAAAGGTTTTTTTATTAAATTATTTATTTACATTCCAAATGTTGCCCCCCCCCCAAGCCCCCAGTGTTCAGAGATTTTTACAAGGGTACGAGGATATGCTTTTAGCTAAAGAGAGCTTTAAATGTTGTTGGGATATTCCCCGACCCAACAGTTGAACAGTACGGTCTGTTGGTTTTTGTGACAGGGTCTCTTACATCTGCAGCTCTCCTGCTCCAGCCTCCTGGTGTTGGGTTTACAGGCAGGAGCCATCACACCCAGCGTGAACATGGTTCTTAACGCGATACAGTACAGTTGCTCTGTCACAGCTCCCCGTGCCACGTGAGAGTCTAACTCTCCTAGGCTCCTTAAGCTAATTTCCCGTTGTTGGTGATCTGCTCATTTTCACTTTTGTAAGATGAGTTGCAAGACACAACAGAAGAAAAGAAGCCCTCAGCAGCCCCCGTCTCTGCACAGAGAAGTAGAGAGCAGAGAGAGTCTGTGAACACAGCCCCAGAGTCTCCATCCAAACAGCTCCCAGACCAGATCTCCTTCTTCAGCGGCAACCCTTCCGTTGAAATCGTCCACGGCATCATGCACCTGTACAAGACAAAGTAAGCACAGCTCTCTTCCTTCTGACTGCTCTGATCCTGCTTGAGGAGGGAGAACACTGTGTGTGTCTGGGACGAGGTCAGGCTAAGGCTTTGACAACCACTGCCCTGGGTACTGTGGACTACACAGTTGTGAGTGCCGTGTGTTTGACAGTGTAGACTGGGCCAAAGCTTTCCTCACTCAAAATGAATGTGTACATGCCCATATGAAAAGCTTGGGAAATGCTCTCTTAAGCAGTAGGCATGGGGATTGAAAACACAAGGAGCCAAAGCACCTGTGCTCTCGTCTTTACCATAACTGCACCAAACCACAGCAGTCACCTGGCGTTAATTGAAGTGCCTGATTTCATGGCTTAGGCTTGACAAGGGCTCACTGATAACCTTGGCTGGTTTGGAATTCGTAGAGATCTGCCTGTAAAGGTGTCCACCTCTAGGCCTGGCTTTTACAATTTTTTCCCCTATTAAAAAAACAAAAACACACACAAAAACAACTTTCTTTTGGAAGCCCAAGGAAAGGAAGCACTTGGACAGATAACCCACCGGCTGGATCTTCAGTTCTCTGGATACGATAATTGGTTTATGTCTCAACAACTCTCTTTGCCCTAACTTGTCTGGATGCCCCTCCAGGGAACTGGGAAACAGCCAGCCATCAGGTAGCCATTTTGGATCCCAGCTGTCACGTCTGTTTTCGTATGTTAAAGACAAATGCCACTGTAGAAGGCTTCTCTCCCTCCCTCGCAGCCGTTCAGATCGAGAGAACTTTTTCTACTCTTCAGTCCTATTGTCAGAAATTAGGATTGTCCAATAGATCTGTGCTCACTCTTCTCTGGAGCTCTTAAGAGAACGTCACAGTAGCACTGTGCCTCCTAGTTACTCAACAATAGATTACTATTCAAAAATTAAAGAGACTGAAACATGGGGCTGGAGACATGGCTCAGAGGTTAAGAGCAGTGGCTGGTCTTACAGAGGACCTGGGTTCAGTTTCCAGCACCCACAAGGTGGCTGACAACCATCTTTAACTCTAGTTCCGTGGGGTCCATGCCTTCTCCTAAGCCACCAGGCCTGCATGTGGTGCACAGACAAACGTGTAGGCAAACACTCATAAAAATAAATATTTTTTGAAAAGAGAATAAAACACTGAGTCTGATAGTATAAATTAACAAGTGTTTAAATCATAATTGAAAGTTCTGGAGAGGTGCTGTGTGAGGTGAAGACAACCAAAATACGTTGTGTGAAATACTCAAAGAGCTAATCAAATACCTTTTTTTAAGATTGAAAACTCAGCTGTGGGTAATGTAGAATGTTTAGGGCTTCCCTTAAAGTGCACTGCAAACTCATGGAAAAGGATTCGGGTACTCATGAGTGTGTGTTTTCAAGTTAACTCACCAGTTATTGAGTTGATTTGTGAAATATTAGCCGTTTTATTTTTCCTATTTTCTCGGACAAAAGAGTTGTTTGGTTATCGTTCTCCAGACTTTTCAAGATGGTCTCATTGTCTTCCTCTTAGTAAGATGACCTCCCTGAAAGAAGACGTGCGGCGCAGTGCCATGCTGTGTGTCCTCACGGTCCCTGCCACCATGACCAGTCATGACCTTATGAAGTTTGTTGCCCCATTCAACGATGTAATTGAGCAAATGAAAATCATCCGGGACTCTACTCCAAATCAGTACATGGTGCTGATCAAGTTCAGTGCACAGGTAAAGCTAAGACGCTCGACAGCTCTCTGCGGAGGACGTGCTGGGGAGACTGTGTGCCAGCGTGTGTGGTTTATGTCTCAGGTTCAGAAATGGCATCTAGGGTGGAGTCGGTGTGTTGTGACCCCCTGGCTATTAGGGTGTTAGAAATACTATTACATTGGCTTGTTTTTAAGATTTATTTATTTTATGTGTATGAATACACTGTCGCTGTCTTCAGACGCACCAGAAGAGGGCATCAGATCCCATTACATATGGTTGTGAGCCATCATGTGGTTGCTGTGAATTGAACTCATCCAGTCCTTATTTTATTTTACTTTACTTTACTTCATTTTATTTTATTTTATTTTATTTTATTTTAAATAAGGTCTTACTGTCTAGCCCTGGCTGGCCTGTTACTTGCTTTGAAGACAGGCTAGCTTGGAATTCACAGAGATATGTCTGCCTTTGTCTCCCAAGTGTTGGAACTACCATACCCAACAAAAGAAACCCAAGATGACTAAACCAGCCATGAGTAGAACCTGGAATCCTCTGATCTTTATTAGAGTTATTACCCATTGTTCCACTAGCCTACACTTCCATAATTTAAAAGACATTTTTTTAATTCTTATTATCTTGGTTCTGAAGATTGGTCCTAATACCTTTCACACGCTCTGCCACTGATGGCACCCCCACCCTCTTTTTATCTTTTTAACTTTGAGACAGGGTCTCACTAAGTTGCCCATGCTGCCCTTGTCTTACGCTGTACCTCAGGTGTACACTGAACTGGTGATCTCATCCTGTCTCCCACGTAGCTTGATGATAGACCGGTGCCACCATACCTCACTCATGATCTCTAGGCATCAGACCGGGTGTGAAATCCAGCTTGTGTTTTCTTATCGAGTGGGAATTAGCCCGAGGGACACCAGAGCCCAGAGGGTGGTTGTCTAGCTGTGTCCCCAGCACACAAGCGCCATACTAAACTGTGAAGTTAGCTTCTGTGGGGCTGCCCTGAAGTCCCTTCCTTCTTTAAAAAGGAAGATTTTTTTTTAGTAAAACAACAGAGATGTTCTTAGACCTGAAAGTGCTTGTGCAGTTTGGAATTAGGAAGGCTTTGTCATTGCCTCTCTTCCTTGTACTGCTGTAAGCATGCTAGTTCTTAAAAGCATGTGTGTTTGGGTATGAACATAAACATGAGGTGAGTTTTACCACTACTTGTGTCACTGAGGGGATGTCCCAGCCTTGGGTTTATGCAAGCTTTTTTTTATATCCTGTGATATTTGTCCATTGACATTTGACTATGTTAGCGAGGTGGTAGTGGCACGAGTCTTTGATCCCACCACTACAAAAGGCTGGCGATACCTGAGTTTGAGGCTACACTGGTCTACAGAATGAGTTCCAGAACAACCATGGCTAAACAGAGCTCTGATTTGTGGAAAATTAACTTCTCTCAGCTCCTTGGTCAACCGTTTCCTCCAGATAAACTGTCCCATCCTGCTAGTTTACAAATGGGTGTTTGACAGATAATTTGTTCTTACCACTCTAAAGGGTTACTAAGGTTTGTGGGAAAAGAAAACTCATGACACAGGCTTCCTTGTTCAGGAATACAGGGTGGACAGCCGTGGTAGGTGTTCGGTAATATACGTTTATGTGTGTGAGCATGTGTGTGTGGTCAGCGAGGACAGCATGCAGGAATCGGCTCTCTACTTCATTTAGGTTACAGGGATTGGGTTCACACTGCTAGGCTTGGGACAAGTGACTTTTCCCTCTGAGCCATCTCACTGGTCCCCATATACAACTTTTACAAATTACATGTCATTTATTTATTTTGTATGAGCATGTATGTTTGGTCACGTGTGGAGATCAGAAGACAACTTTCAGGAGTTGGTTTTCTTGTTCAACCACGTGAGTGTCGGACTGTGAGGCTCAGTAGCTGGCGCCTTCACTTGCTGAACCATCCCACATAATCTTTTTTTACGGCAGTGGTTTACTATGTAGTTCTGGCTGGATTGGAATTAACCACATCTACCAGGCTGGCCTCAAAGGCACAGAGATCTGCTCGACTCTGCCTCCAAAGCATTTGGCTTAAAGATACATACTACCACATCTCCATATATAATATTTAAAGACTTTCTTTTATTTCCGACAAGGTCTCATCTGCGGTTTATGATACCCTGGACTTTCCTATTTATCCCAGGCTAGCCTTGAACTCCCAAGACATATTCTTGACCTCAGTCTCTTGACTTGGGATTATAGGCATGAATGTAAATGTCAAATTTGGGCTTATTACGTTCTTAGACATTTTCCAGCTTAGTTCTGTGCCTTTTCCTTCATGGTGCTTGTTAATCACAGTTGTAAAGTACTTCTGTTCCTAGTGACTTATAAACAATGACTGTCCCCTCACTCACTTCTGTGTCCCAGTCTTAGCTATGAAATGTGGCCTTTTCCTTCTTGGTTATTAATGTCTAGTAGTGTAACTAATCACTAACCTCTCTGCAGCCAGTTCCCTCACCTTTGAAACAAAGAATACGTAATGTTCATGCTTCCAGAGGACACTCACCAAGTGTCTGGCTAGCAGGCAGGACTGTGAGGCAAAAGTTACTGTCACAGGCCCTGTGATGGTATCACTATTTGTACTACCTGGAACTACCAAGTCTAACCATTTAGAGAGCCAGTGGCCGGGCTCTGAAGCACCTCAGAAGACCTCCTCTCAGTCAAGGGTGAGGTATATTTTCGACCTTAATGTCAACTTCTGAATCTGGGTCTACAGGAGAGTTGAACACCTTGGCTTTTGTGTTTTTACTTTTTTTAGGATTTACTTTATGGGGCATGACAACACTTCCTTAACCCAGTACTCAGCAAGCAAAGGCAGAGGAATCTCCATTGGGTCTGAGGCTAGCCCTATCTATTTAGTGAGGGCCAGGACAGCTGGGGCTCTCAAAAACAAAACAAACATGTTTTTATTTTACATGTATATGTGTTTTGCTTGCATGCATGTCTGTGTACCATTTGTGTGCAGTGTCCATGGAGGCCAGAAGAGGGGTCGACATTCGTCTGGAACATGGATTGCAAATAGTTGTGAGCCATGCGTTGTTGAACCAAACCTGGGTCCTCAGAAAGAGCAGCCAGTGCTATTCACTACCAAGCCATCTTTCCAGCTCTAAAAACCATTTTTAATATTCCTAATGGTAGGATACTTTGTAAAGTCAAACTGACAACTGTGTGCTCTTGTCTTTTGTTTAGTTTTGTTCTTTTAAGACAGGGTTTTTCCGTGTAACAGTCCTGGCTGTCCTGGAATTTACTATGTAGATCAGGCTGGCCCCAAAGTCACAGAGATCCTCCTGCATCTGCCTCCCAAATCAAGTGCTAAGATTAAAGGCACGCACCACCACCGATAGAAGACACAGAGAAGTCTTGTCTTGAAAAACCAAAAGATAAGTAAGTAAAAATAGAAGAAACAGGGCTGGAGAGATGGCTCAGTGGTTAAGAGCACCGACTGCACTTCCAGAGGTCCTGAGTTCAAATCCCAGCAACCACATGGTGGCTCACAACCATCTGTAATGGGATCTGATGCCCTCTTCTGGTGTGTCTGATCACAGCAACTGTGTACTCACATTCATAAAATAAATAAATCTTAAAAAAAAAAAAAAAAAAATAGAAGAAACTGTTGAAGCTTAGAGTTGACAAGATGACTGACTCACTTCTATCAAGCCCAGTGCTTGAGGTAGATTCCTCAGGAGTCACACGGTGCAGGGAGACCGCACCAGTTCCACAGAACTTTGACCTCCACACAAATTAGTTTCATTGAAAATGCAGGTGAGTGGCCACACCTATAATTCTATAATGTGGCCTGAAGATTGGAAGGTTAGGAGTTTAAGTCAGCCTGGGCTACAGAGTAATCCCACTCCACAAAAAAGGAGGGCATATCCAAGTGTGTGGCCATCCAAGCCTTCAATCCAGAGGAGCTGGATTCTGGAAGGCGCTTCAAGTCGTTTTCATAGATGGTGTGGAGTGTCTGCCGCATGTACTCATTGTGTGCTACAACAGTTAGGGTCTGAATGTTTTCCCTGGACTCTGGTACATGTCCTAGTCAGAACTGGATGTCAGCGTTAGTTTGTGTCCTGTGCAGTGTGTACTAAGCCTCCACACAGGCAGATGGGAACAGAAAGCCACTGTCTACCTGTGCAGCTGCTCTGCCTGTGCCAGCAGCCATTTCTAACTCTACTTCCCAGTTTCATTCTGTCTCCTCCTCTCCTCTTCCCTCTCTCCCCATCTTCCTCCCTCTCTCCCCATCTTCCTCCCTGTCTTCTTGCCTCTCTCTCCTCTCCCTCTTCCTTCCTCCTTGCTAAGTACAGTTCTACCTCTAAACTCTCATTCCCTGTCTATCTGTTATTTTGATGGAAACAAGGTCTCAGGTCCAGAGATGTAGTTCTGTTGGTGAATTCTCACCTAGCATAGAAGCGAGGCTAGCCCCAACCAGGACACCCTGGGTGGAATTCCTCACACTGCCTAAACCAGACATAGTGCATCCCAGTTCTAGGGAATTGGAGTCTGGAGGACCCGGAATTCAAGGTCATCCTTGGCTACATAGAAAGCTTGAGGCTAGCCTAGTCTACATAAGACCCATCTCAGAAGCAAACAAGGGGAGCAGAGAGGTGCTCAGCGGTTAGAGCATTTCCTGCTCTTGCAGAGTCCCAGGTTTGGTTCCCAGCACTCAGGATGAACAGCTCACAGCTGGTTGTTACTTCACGACCAGGAATCTAATGCTCTCCTCTGGCTTCTGCAGGTGCTGTTCACATATTGTATAGAGTATACTCAAGTACACACTTGTGGACATACATTATAAATCAAATCTTTAAAGTCGGAAGCACGCCCTCACCTCCTAAGCCCAGCTGATCTGTGTGACCAAAGCTAGCCTTGAGCTTATGGTGTCCTTCCCGTCTCCCCTGAGTGCTCCACACACACGCCCCTCTGCACCTGCCATCGTCTTCAGGACTGAGGAAGGGCAGGTGGACTGGAGCTTCCTTCTTGCCTTCTGCCTGCTTCTGCCTTTTCCTTGCTCTTCATGACCTAGCCAAGAAAGGAATGATGGCCGCTACACCCTCAACTTGCCCACTTGGTGACAGTTCAGTCATTTACAACTGTACCCCACTTTCTGACACTTTGACCCGTGGAACATAATATATTAATGCCCATTGGATATTAGTTCACCTGATTGTGGTAGGAAAGGGTTACCGCAGTTGGTCACGCTGGCACACACCTGTAATGCTAACACTTGGGAGGTGGAGGCAGGAAGATCCAGAGATAAAGGCAGCTCAGTAGTGAAGTGCACTGGCTGCTCTTGCAGAAGGCCCAGGTTAGGCCCCCAGGACCGACATTGGACTATTCACCAACACTTAGAACTCCAGCTCCAGGGTTCTAACTCCCTCTTCTGGCCTTGATAGGCACACACACATACAAATGACAATTAGCCTTTTTAAAAGATTGGCTCAGAACAGGGTATAGTTGCGAATGCATTTAATTCCAGTCCATGGTAAGTACAGGCAGGCAGATCTCTGAGTTGTAGGCCATCATGGTCTACATAGCAAGTTCAAGGTCAGTCAAGGGTATATAGTGAAACTTGTCTCAAGGCAATAAAAATTATTATGTGTGCGGTAGCTCACATCTGGAGTCTCAGAACTTTGGCTCAGCTATAAGCTGTCCTCAGTGAGCTTGACATAAGCCTGGTCTACATAGTGAGTTCAGGGCAGCTAGGGTCATGAGATCCTGCCTCCGTTATGTAAATAAATTTGAGAGAAAAGAAAGAAAAGGTGAAAGCATAAAGAAGGAACATTTAGAGTCCAGGTTTCAACACCTGTATATAACTTCCTCCTCATCTTCATGTCCTGGATAGGTGTCCTGTGTGCCGGTACTGTCAAACGCCAGAGCCAGTGGAAGAAAACAAGTGTTTTGAGTGTGGTGTCCAGGAAGTAAGTAACTGGGGAAGAGGGATAATGAGCGGCTCTATTGGTCTGGGATTCTCTTCTTCTGCCCAGTGCATCTTAGTTTCTTGTGACACTAATTCTTTTTTGTCTGTAGTCAGGTGTGTGAGTACACAGATTCTTCATGCTTTTATTTGCTACTGTTTTTTTTTTTTTTAAAGACTGAGATACTCACCAGTCAGTCACTTGTTAGCCTATACTTCGAACTCTGCAAAAGCCAGAGGTGGGAAATGGTTGACCACTAAGGACCCTGGAAGGTTGGGTCCGGAACTGTCTTATTCAGAAGCCTGTGGAGGAAGCTCCTGAGTCTTCTTTCTAAGCTATATGGGCCAGGTCATGTGCCTCCCCTCCCCAATCACCAATTCAGCTCTGCTCTCTTGGCAGAACCTCTGGATCTGTTTAATATGTGGCCACATAGGATGTGGGCGGTACGTAAGTCGACACGCTTACAAGCACTTTGAGGAGACCCAGCACACGTATGCCATGCAGCTCACCAACCATCGTGTCTGGGACTATGCCGGAGGTGAGTGTGCGGCCCTTTCCTGATTTGGATTCTTTCCTATGGAAACTTCTCACAGCTGCAATGGCAAACTCAGAGGGTGCCATACTTTGGGATGACCTGAATCAAGAATTATAGAGACAGTTTAGATGTTTGTTCTTGCCCACTCTCACTCTCTAATGGTCAAATGACTCATTTTTAAAGAACATCTTACATCAGTTCATTTAGATTTCTTTTTTCCTTTTTTTTTTTTTTTTTTTCGTTTTTGGAGACAGGGTTTCTCTGTGTAGCCCTGGCTGTCCTGGAACTCACTCTGTAGACCAGGCTGGCCTCAAACTCAGAAATCCGCCTGCCTCTGCCTCCCAAGTGCTGGGATTAAAGGCGTGCGCCACCACTGCCTGGCAGTTCTAGGACAGCCAGGGCTACACAGAGAAACCCTGTCTTGAAAAAGCACAGAGAACCTTTCATTCCTAAGAAGCTGCCTCTGGCTAACTTCTCCTTTCTTTAGATAATTATGTCCATCGGCTGGTTGCAAGCAAGACAGATGGAAAGATCGTTCAGTACGAGTGTGAGGGCGACACCTGCCAGGAAGAGAAGATAGATGCCTTACAGTTAGAGGTGAGATGCTCTGAGGTGTCACTTAGCAACTGCTATTGCTCTGTGTTTCCATTTTCCCGAGAAAGGTGCTTTGACCTTTTCATGTTGTCATCTGCCCTATGTCATTGCTGGGAAGAATTTCTAAAATGCTTCTTTTCTGAAAGTCTAAGCTGGGCTTGAGAGATGGCTCAGTGGTTAAGAGCACTGACTGCACTTCCAGAGGTCCTGAGTTCAAATCCCAGCAACCACATGGTGGCTCACAACCATCTGTAATATCTGTAATGAGATCTGATGCCCTCTTCTGGTGTGTCTGGAGACAGCTACAGTGTATTCATATATAATAAATAAATAAATCTTTAGAGAAAAGAAAGTGTAAGCTTCCCTGAACCTTACTACTGTTTTACTGTGATGTTCCTGGTTGTCTTAAGTTCAGGCTCATTTGTTGAGGTGATTAAGGTCATCTTCCTCAGCAGCAATAAAGCCGAAAGGTAGCATATTCCTGCAGATGGCTCCACAGAAGCTGGAAATGGGATAGAGCAATTAGAATGGACCCAGCAGCACCTGTCTTCCCTAGCCATTCATGCAGAGCTGTGTGTTTAATGTACATGCTTTGTTAGTTGGGGCTCAGTTATTTAAAGGCATTTGGGGTTTATATATTTGAAGAACCACCACATTTAGCACACTGGGATTTTCTTCTGAGAAGTGAAGCCTGCCTGTTGCAGATGGCTGTGTGTGCAGGGCAGTCCTGTGCTGCCACTTGTTTGCTTGGTGATGGTTTGTTGTCTTTTGTGGACCTGGTTTGCTTTAGTTTTAAGACAGAGTCTTATCAAGTAGTTCCAGATTGACCTCAAACTCATGATCCTCCTGTCTCCACTTCCCTGGTGATGAAAGGACAGGAGCGTGCTTGCATGCCCACACAAAATTCTGTGTTAATGAGAGGGAAGACTCAGACTGAGTCCTGTTTTATGTGAATTAAAAAAAAAAAAAAAAAGTTTAACCAGGAAAACTAACCCAAACCTCTGTCTTTCAGAGGGAATGGACTTTGGAAATGAGTCCATTTGTAGACTCTTTGAGATTTTTTTGTTTTTAATTTACTATGTATGAGTTTACCTGCATGTGTACATGCTTGGTGCCTGAGGAGGCCAGAAGTGGGCCTTGGACCCCCTGGAACTGGGGGAACTGGAGGTATAGATAGCTGTGAGCCACACGTGTGTGCTAGGGATTGAACCTGGGTTCTCTATAAGAGTAGCCTGTATATTTTTCCACTGAGCCATCTCTCCAGCTCCTCATTTGTAGACTTCATAGCTCTGATAGATTCAGAAAGTGGCCTTCAGAACAGCTTGTACTCTGAATAAATTACTATATTGGCAGAAAAAAACAAACCCTTGACATTCTTTAGAATAAGTATCTCTTCCATATGAATGCTGACTAAGGGTGCCGTACACATTTTAGATACTCAAAAATTAGTTTATCAGGATAGAATTGTATATACCTTAGTGGTAAGAAACCTATCCAGCTTTTACCAGCACTGGTTGTTCTGGAACTCACTGGCCTTGAACTTGAGATATGCGTGTTTCCCACATGCTAGGAGTAAAGACCTATGGATGCCCCAACACACCTGACCTTGCCCACAAGTCTTCACACCCACAGCCCCATCTCGCCGTGTGCACACCTAGCATCTTTGTTGTCCTCTAGATAAAGAGGCCCTGTGGCTGGTCCAGCTTTCTCCAAGTGCAGGTGTCTGTTCATGTCTCATGTCTGTCAACAGCCTCTGAATCTCATCTACTCCCAGAAGTCCTAGCCGCCCTACTGGAGCCGTTGGCCACACAGTACTGTGGGTTCATGTCGGCATGGAGCGTGGAGACCCAGAGAAAACATGCAGCCCTCCCTCATCTCCAGATCTCACAGTCTAGTCAGGGGGGTTGGAGGGTAAACCTTCAGATAAGTGTTACTGTAGTTAGCAGTGGAGTGCAGAGGGGACATTTCCCCAGGGTGCTGACATGGGGGAGTTAGACTGTTCTGTGTGGGGAGGGGGTGCTGAATATGGGACCAAGAGTCTCATGTATGCTAAGCTCACACTTGACCACTAAGCTATACCTGTAGCCCGAATTTTACATAAATTCAAAACCTCCATTCTTAAAATTGTTTGGGCCAGAATGAATTTGCATAAATGTGGATTCACACTAAAGAGGTAGAGGTAGGAAGTTCAGGAGCTCAGGTCTTTCCTGGACGTTTGAGGCCAGTCTGGCCCCTAAGAGACCCTTTATCAAAACCATAAACATGTTAGAGACATAGCTCAGTCAGTTGTTTGCCATGCCAGCATGAGAACCTGAGTTCAGTTCCCAGAACCTAAACTTTAAAAAACTAGAAGTAGTGGTACAAGTTTGTAATCCCAACCCTGAAGAGCTGGACGTGGATGCTTGGGACCCATTGGCCTGCCAACCTAACCTACTGGGTGACTTCTAGGCCAGAGAGACCCCGTCTCAAAACTAAAGTAGACAGTACCAAGGAATGACATCTGAGGCTGGTTCTGCCATCCCCCCACTTACACGCCTGAATAGAATACATGGCCTGGAGAGATGGCTCAGTGTGAGCACATGACTGCTCTTCTCTGAGGACCTGAGTTCGATTCCCAGCACCCACATCAGGTGGCTTAGAACTGTTTGTAAGCCCAGCTCTATAGCAGTCTGACATTCTGACTGCTGTGGTCACCTGCATTCATGTGCCTGTGCCCTCCATACGTACAGTTAACATCACCATCATCAAAAGATACATACAGAGCATTTTAAAGACAAAGATAAGTTTGCTTTCCCAGCTAGATTGCGAGTTCTACTCTGTACCTCTGACCCAGTGCTTGTGGACTTTAGTTGAACCCAAGTGTAGCATACTTTCTGGTGAGCCTGACGTGGAAGTGCAGGCCTGAAGTCCCCAGTTGATAAAGTTGGGAGGTTGCCAGTGCTTCACTCACATGTAAGATGGCAGGGCAAGACCATGTCCCTCCCTCCCTCCCTCCCTCCCTCCCTCCCTCCCTCTCTCCCTCCCTCCCTCCCTCCCTCCCTTTCTTCTTCTCCTTATCCTCGTCCTCCTCCTCCTCCTCCTCCTCCTCTTGCCCCTCTCTCTCTCTCTCAGCCGTGTGTCTGTTCTCTCACGTCATGGGTTATTGTGGCTATGAGAGCACCACTGGCTGTGCAGGCCTCAGCTCTGGAAGGAAGGAGTTCTAGTTCTGGAAGCTGTCGGTGTTGCTGAGTGTCATAGTTGGTGATGGCTCTCCCCTCTCATTGTTCTGTTTCTAGTACTCATACTTGCTGACAAGCCAGCTGGAATCGCAGCGGATATACTGGGAAAACAAAATTGTGCGCATCGAGAAGGACACGGCTGAGGAGGTAAATGACTTCATGACTGAAGTGCTATACCAGGGCGGCTGCCAGGCGGAGAGGGCAGAATTCAGGGAAAGGGATGGTGAGGACCTTCCCTCTGATGGCTGGTGATCAATTGGGATCTTAAGGTGTAATGTCTCTCACCTCTTAGAGCGAGGGCTTTGTATAGTCCCAATAAGAATGTAAGAATGGGTAGGCCCGCACTCAGTGACGCCCAGCCTCTGCTGTCTCAGTGTACTCAGTCTAGGCTCCTCCTAGCACTACCCTAACCCCGCAGAAGTCTGTGTGAAGATTTTGCAGCATGGGTCAGCTGCTAGCATGTCAGCTTGGGAATAATGGCTTTGGGAGCTAGGTGTGCTTCTGCAGCTTTGTAAACTGAGGGAAATAAATTAGAAATGGTGGAGCTTCTGTGGTCTCCCTGGAGAATTACTGGTTCCGGGCTGCACTTACCAGATTTTAACTGATTCCCTTAAATGTGACATGCACGGTGGCCTATGCCTGTAACTCTGTATACTCTGGAGGCAGAGGCAAGAGGTTTGGTTTTTTGTTTTGTTTTGTTTTTTTGAGGTTGTTGGTTTTTTTTTTTTTTGAGACACGGTTTCTCTGTGTAGCCCTGGCTGTCCTAGAACTCACTCTGTAGACCAGGCTGGCCTCAAACTCAGAAATCCGCCTGCCTGTCTCCCAAGTGCTGGGATTAAAGGCGTGCGCCACCAACGCTCGGCAAGAGGGTTTTTTAATCCAGAAGTTTGAGGCCTCATAGTATTTTTTTAATTTTATTATTTGAAGATTTTATATTGTGTATATGAGTGTTTGACTATATGCCCATATGTGCAGTGTCTTTTGAAGCCAGAAGAGGGCATTAGTTCCCCTGGAGTGGGAGTTACAAGTGGCTGTGAGCTACAGTGGGTAGTAGGACCTAAACCAAGGTCCCTCCTACGAGGGGGACAGTGCTCTTAACCAGTGAACCATTTCCCATACCCCAAAGTAAGCTTTTTTGTTGGTTTGGCTTTAGATTTCAGCACATAGAATGTGATGTGATTTTGCAGAAACCTGTGCAGAAGACCCGAGTTCTGCATGCTTCATTTCCTATCTTATAGCATGTTCAAGGAACCTTGAGGGTTACAGAGAAGAGGTTACAGAGAGACCATGTGCACGTGTGTCTTGTGTGTGTCTAGTAGAGAAGAGGTTACAGAGAGGCCATGTGCGCGTGTGTCTTGTGTGTGTCTAGTAGCCGCTTCTCGTAGTAGTGAATGAAGTCTTTGCATTTTCTACCTGATCCAGCTAATAACTGAGTCCCCTCCTCCTGTTGGGACTGCAGGTGGGAGGTTCCGCTACAGCTCCTCACTAGCTCTTCCATGTCCATCAGCAGTTTCCTGGGCACACACCAGCTCCTGGTCCTTCTTAATCCTAAAGAAAACTGTTCTCTAGTTTCTCACAATTTTTGTTACTGTCACAATTCCATTGAAATGACTCAGCTCGCAGAGACAGGCAGATTTCTGAGTTCGAGGCCAGCCTGGTCTACAGAGTGAGTTCCAGGACAGCCAGAGTTACACAGAGAAACCCTGTCTCGAAAAACAAAACAAAACAAAACAAAAAATGGCTCAACTCTTAAGTTTGGTTTGCCCTGGTTATAGAGACAGTGGTAGGGGCAGTCCCAAGAACTGTATGAATCTGCCTGACCTCCATTTGCACTTTCAGATTAACAACATGAAGACCAAGTTTAAAGAGACCATCGAGAAGTGTGACAGCCTGGAGCTTAGACTCAGCGACCTCCTGAAGGAGAAGCAGTCTGTGGAGAGGAAGTAAGTATCTCTCGGTTCTTAGCAGTCATGCATGCCAGCAGGTTCTTCTACAGAAGCACCCTTGCTTCCCTGGGAACACCCCCACTTTCAGCATGTACATCATACAGGTTTTTGAGGGTCTGCTTATAGTTGGTGCAAAGTAACAGTGACTTCTCATTCATGTTGTTAGGGGCGAGCAAGATGGCTCAGCTGCCACGCCTGACAATCTGTGTGGAACCCAAACTCACATGATAAAAGGAAAGAGCTGACTTCCACACGTGCACCTTGGCACACGGGTACACATACACACAAATAAATATAAAAAACAAAGAAGGTCCAGTTGCTGTTCCACTTGAGATGGGTGCCGGGTGGAACACCAGACTCCCTGCAGTCCATGTACAGATGCCTTCCATTTCTGCCTGCAGCTTCTGAGCCATCTTGACTGAGAGCTGGCAGTGAGGAAAGACGTATTGTCTAAGGCAGTGTCACAGACTCCCCTTGGGAAGGATCTGTTAGCTAATGATGCTGAGCCTGGAGCAGAACGCCCATGAGCAGCGTGGCAAGAACACTGCTGCTGCCAGAGTGGGCAGGACGGGTGTCACTGCTGCCTGTTCTATCCTGCTATTCAGTGGCAGTGCATTTTCCCAGTGTGCACAGGGCCCAGGGTTGATCCCAAGCATTGAAGAGGGTAAGGTTCCCTCCCTTGTTTCAGTTATACTATAGGGGCAACAAGATTGTTTTTCTGAACATACAGTAAATAGATAGAGGTACTTCTGTTTGTCTGTCTGTCTGTCTGTCTAGGGTGGCCTCTGCCTTCTTAGTGCTGAGATGTAAGCTTTTTTTTTTTTTTTTGGTTTTTTGAGACAGGGTTTCTCTGTGTAGCCCTGGCTGTCCT